GGTAGAGAGTGACAGGCAAGGTGGAGCCAAATGAGGAATGAGGCCAACACGCCATCTTTAAAAGTAGTAGGCTGGTATGTGGCAAGGAGCGATGTCTCACAGCTACTGTTAAAAAATTGGTAAAGTACAATGAATAAACACTAATTCCCAGGACATAGCTCCATTGCAAGTAAACTGAAAGAGCATATCTATGTGGGAAAGTGAATGAAACTCTGTTGTCCCAGGCAGAAATTTTAGAAATAGAATTGAAACAGCATAACCATAATAAAGCTATCTGCTGCCCCAGCTTGCTCCCCAGCCCTTTCTCGGACTATGTTTCAACAAACAGCTGGCCCTCAAAGAATGGCCCCATTTAAAGATGGTAAAAAATATCAGAAAGCAGCTGGCATAACACCAACTTTGTATAGATACTACAAGAAAAAGAAAACTGAAAAAAATAATGTAAAAGAGACACAAAAAATCACATGCTACGATTATTGAAAAAAATACAGGATTTAATCAAATACTTTTCAGTGATACTTTTTAAATCAAAGAAATAGAGCCTTAAAAAAAATAAAAGCATTTAGAACAAAAGAGAATGGCTCAAAGACCAAAAGGCAAGCCAATAGGCGGATATTAAAAGTGAGCTGGCAGAACTTAGCAAAAGAACAGAAGAAATAAATATGATCCATTCAGAAAGAAAATCTGCTTTAAGAAGCAGAAGCTTTTTAATGAATACCATCAAAGCTACAGAATTAATTATGGAGGTTAGATTTGAGAACACTGAATAAAATGAATAGAATAAAAATAAAGAAATCACTAGACAGAATAATTAAAGAAAAATGAAAAATGTATATAAAAGACAAATAAGGCCCAACATGCACATTCATGAAGAGAAGAACACCAACTATAAAAAAAAAAGTTATAGTAGGAAAAAAACATTCCCAGTTAAGGTTAATTAATAATTAATAAGTTAAAATTCAAAGTAAAAGGTACTATATTGGTCAAAGGATGACAAAGATTTGTTAGTGATGAGTTATAAACTCTGTAATGATCTAACTATCCTGATTCTAAGCACCAAATAATATATTATTAAAATACATAAAGCAAAACTGGAAAAAAATGCAAAAAGAAACAGACATAAATGAATAGTAACAGAAAACATATACACAATCTCTGAAAGACGATATAGATCAAAAATATGTACCAATATAGAAAAAAGTTAAGTAACATAAATATTAATTTGGATGTCATACACATATATAAAAATCAATGAAGCAACTTTTAAAGGCACACAGAATACTTTCATATATATCTAAACAATAAAAATAAAAGCATATGAAAAATGTATTAAGTTATCAATATTATACCTCCTAAAGAAAATCTCAATAAATTCTCTAATATGAAATAGTATATTTTATTTATCATGTTTTATAACTAGATTGCTATTACACTTGACTTTACAATAAAAACTAAGGCCAACACATTGAGAACTGAAACATTCTCAAACAACTCCTGAGTCAAACAGGAAATCCACACTGAAATAGCCAAATCAGAAGACTGGGCCCTAAGTGTCCCAGGTGGAGTCTTTAGAAATATCTTCAAAATTAAAATATGAAAATGAATAAGGTTATGAATAACAAAATTCATACTTAAAGATAATTGTTATCCTACATACAAATAATAACTTATTTTTTTTAAAGAGAACAAGAGAGAGGTGAAAATATCTCATTTTCAATAGCAAATTTATGAGTAAGGGCCTATCTAGCAAAACAGATTCCTGACATATAATGAAATAAATAATATAATATCAGAGATAGTTATGAATATATGAGAAGAGTCAAAACAGCAAGCAGGGTTTGGAAAAAGGTGTTACCCTAAAAATTAGTAACAGCAGAAAGCTGCTAATATCCTTAAACTGGAATAATAAAGGAAGGGACAATATGTACCCCTAGAGTAGTTTATAAACTAGACTCAAGAGGGAGCAAAAACTCAGACAGAACTGCCTGTTGGAAGCTGGGAGTATGGAGAGACCTGGAGCCACTGAGGAGACCAACCAGAGCTGCCACCAGCTGCAAAGGGGTGGGGAACACTCTAGAACCACCCCACCATCTTCCCTTCATATTGTTCCAGTACCTCCCACTGGCCAAACGGAAGCCACTGGATAGAGAATCTGGGAAGGTAGTTTACATGGTTTCATTATCTACCATGCAAACTACAGAGGGAAAGGCTTGGATCTGAAAGGAAACAGACACTATCATTAGCACAGCAACCAGAAAAGAAAACCAAAAATTAAGAAAGAAATAGAAATTTAGCTCAATTTTTCATACTTTACCTAAAGGCCTTTAAGGGAAATGTGTCATATGTAAAGTATGTGTTTATTTAATTATTGTAAAATATGGGGGGAGGCAGGAATATTGTATATAAATAATATGTAGTAGAAGATGAGCTTCTCTCTCCTCCATATCCCCAATCCCTCTCTACAGAGTGACTGCTGTTAATTATTTTGTTTGTATCTGGAAATTTTTCATATATAAACATGAATATTTAATTTAAATGCTCATAAGCATAAAAATATATATTATTCTATCTCTGGTTTCTCTTTCACTTATGGATATGCATACACTGGAGACTGGTGATGATTTATTTTTTTAAAGATTCTACTTTTTTAATATGCAGGTGGTTTCCAGGTTTTTGTTGTTACAGACAATATATGACAAAGACAAGGGAATACTTCTAAAACTGTCAGGCTATTGTCTTTATATGTCTGGTATCTGAAACAATTCACTTAGCATGTATTGGGCCAGGGGCAATACCGCTACAAGCAGAGCCTAAGTTGGAGATGGGATTTAAAATTATGTCACAGAAATATGGAGCTCATTGCACTCATATCTCACAATCAATGTTATTTATGATTCATACCCATATGTATGGGAATGTTTGGAAGGACGTGCAGATGTAGCCAATATGTGCATCTTTACCCAAGGCAGTTGCACATACCAATGTTCTTATGCTTCCAAAAATAAATAAAACCTGATCCTCTCTGTTTTAGCCAGGCCAGCTCACTTGCCTCTGAAAAGTTTAAGCTTTCTGAGATTACTTAGTTGTATGATCTTGGAAAGGATCTTAATATCGACAGCCCTTGGTTTCTTATTAAAATGAAGGTGTCATATTAATCTACCCTCTTACATTTCAACACTTCTACTCTTTTCAGCTCTTGTTGTTACATTTTCAAGGTCAAATTCAAGCCCTGCCTTTTTTCAAATAAGTTTCAGAATGAGGTGGAAGATACCTTGAAAACCCATACACTAATATTGGAGATTTTCATACTGACTTCTCCCTGTAATTCTTGTATTCTCTCCTTGATTCTTGTGAAGCATTCGAAGTTCCTCAAGTCTCCTCCCAGGAAGAAAATCAAAAAGAATAAGATATTGAAGAGTGAGCATGAGAATGAAACTGTTAAACATTACATTAAATTTATGCTGGTATAGTTTTTATGGTCTTCAAAAAGAATAAATTACGATGTGGCCTTAAAATAAAAGTTCTATTAGGCCATCAATTGCTGTCACATGAGAAAGCATGCAATTAAGACCATAAAAGTTGCCAAATTTTGGAAATGTTCATGGAATGTTCAAAGCTCAAAGAGTTCAAAGGGAATACACAGGGCTTGATGGACTATCAGGCAAATTCTGAATAGCTGACCATTAAAACTTTCAATTTCTGAAGGAATCTGTTTAATTTTGAGTTACATGTAATTCAGTTAAGGAAAAGGCAAAATCAAAAGTTTAATCAAATTGGGGATAGTGGCATGTGACTCTTATCCCAGTGACTCAGGAGGCTAAGGCAAGAGGAACACAAGTTTGAGGCCAGCCTCAGTAACTTAGTAACATCCTGCCTCAAAATAAAAAAATAAAAAGGACTGATGTAGCTCAGTAGTAAAGCGCCCCTGAGTTCAACCTCTAGTACACCTCCCCCCCAAAAACAAGTTTAATCAAGTAAGAAATGAATATAAAACTCTAGTGTTCTTCAACACATTGAAAATTGTTCTCTTAATTCAAAAGGTGAAACTGCCAAAATTGCTCAGTAGTAAGTACGGAAAAACAATGAACCCTCATGTCCTCAAACACAACTGCCCAAGACCAAAGGTCATCCTGCAGAATCTTGACTAGCTGTGTTAAAAAATGCACAAGCTCAACTTTAGGCAATTAGAGGAAAATAGTGACAGATCTGCTTTAACAATGAGCTACTCTTGGTTTTAAAAATTATCTTTATGTCAAATATAGTGTTTTGGAAAGAAGACATTAAATAAATAGTTGTATTGAGAAAATAAGACAATTAGCTGAGATACGTTCCAGTAGATTTTATTGAGCTAAAAATGCTAAAAAAAAAAATACTGTGAGGACATATAATTGGGATTAATTCATCGCAGGGAAGTCCTTAAAGGTTCTACATAAAAAGCCAAAGTTTAAATAAAATTGAAGGATGAGATGCAGATCCCCAGTCATGGAAGAAGGGAAGGGCAATCCAGTAAGAAAGAACAGCAAGCATGAAGGTACTGAAGCATGTTTGGAGAGAAAAGCGAAAAGTCTAGAATGATTTTTGGAGCACAGTATGTACATGTAGTGGAAGGAAATCAGCTAGACATGTAGGGTGGGACCAAATGTGCTGTGGAGTTTGAGGTATGCCCAAACACCATGGCCTCTTTAATAGCAAGAAACCACGCAAAGCTGTAGAGCCATATGTTTTATCACAGCACATTAATGACCACATGTTAACAGGGAGGAAACTGGAAAATAACCATCGGCCATGGCAATGACTCAAACATTCTCTTTCTATTTCAGTCTTCAGAGCACCAGCGTGCAAGATGACACTGGAGAGTTATACTTTCTTTATATCATATTAAAATAAGCAGAAGCCCAGCCATTCCAGCATTTTAAACACACTAAGATAAAAACGAATGAAATAGAAGTGATGGAGTTAAATCCACTTCTCAGAGGGTTCTACATCTCTACAATCTTTACCTCGTTAATGGAAGTGCATCCAGGAAATATGTAGATAGCAGGGTACTGGTGAAACCACAGGGGTCTCATCATTCCTGTGCTTCTGAGCTTCTGAAACCAAAGGAAGATTTGACTTCTTTTAGAACCTGTGAGAAGTAACTGTCTTTTCTTCAGCTGTATCCCTCTCTTTGCCCACCATACTAGCCCATGTTTGCTCATACATACATAACCTGGTCTTTACCAAATTCATGCCATATGCAATTCCCTCTTCATACTATCTGCCTGATCAGCTTCTACCCACGTCTACTTCTCTTCCTAAATCAAGCATTACCGAGCATGTACAAGAAGCAGGAAATACATTTGATTACATAGTGGTGGTAGAACAAAAAAATGGAGCAAATACATATGGAACATCTAATATATCAATCACTGTGTTTAATTTTCAATAATTAATTAATTGTATTACCAGTGTTTGTGGGTCCAGACCAAATACATTCCGCTTTTCTCTTCACTCACTATAGTCTTATACAATCCCGACCCCTTACTCCCCTTATTCCTTCCACTATGTCTTCACTTCATTTATTAAAATCCTTATGTTCCTTATTTTATTCATCAAAGTCTTCTCCTCACATACTATTCCTCACCAAAACCAGGCTTTCCCTTGGACATCTCATAGATATAGATTATATATATATATATATATATATATATATATATATATATATATATATATAAAATTAAGGAAATTTAAAAGATCTTTGCCGCTATTATGAAAAGCTCTTCTCTTCAGTTTCCTCAACTATCAAAAAGAGACGTTTTCTGAATCATTTCTGTACTTTTTTCCAGGTACTTGATGATGAATAAGAATTCCCCTTAAACTCAGTTACTGACACATTACAGTTCTGATTTCTTAAAAGTGTCAGATGCATCATTTCTTCAAGAACTGTGGAAGAGAGAACATTAGGTACTTGAGAGGTGAGGACATTCAAATCACGATATTATACTGTCTGGGCCAAGATAATCATTAGCTCAAGTCTTTCAGACTCCAGGCCCTTTCCCTGCTGGGTAAGCCAACAAGCCACAGAGATCCATTCAAATGATGAATGGGACCCAAAAATATTAAAGCAAACATCAAAGATCAGCTAGTTAGGGCTGTAGCTAGGGGAGGTCTTACTGAATATGAATTGCTGTATTTTAGATGATGAAACCGGGCCATTTTGAAGTTTAAAATGTGGCGTTAGGTTCTAAAGAGAACAGCAGTGTTTATCAAACAGAATGTGTTTCAAAGACTTGATTACAAAATCCTGTGCCAGAAACTGGAATCTGGTCTCTAGAGAATTATTAAACTTTATTTATACTAGTTACATGAAAGCATATCTCAGCAAAAAATAATAATAATAATAATTAATAATGTTAGTACATTCAGACAACAAATGGTTCTTTGGAAACTTGGGTGTGAACCTTGTGAGTAGAGTGTTTCTGTGAGACATCAGCTGGGTTGGATGTCTTGCTTTATTTGGGCTGGGATCATTAGGCTCCCTCCCTCCACATTCTGTCTTCTTTAAGGCTAAAACATATATGAGAAATATTCCATGCCCAAACCCCCAACACGTGAAATTCAGAGGTCTGACTTGAACTTGATCTCAAGTTTGAGTGTTGTCAGGCAGCACAAAAGATGAAGCCGATGAAAGCAAGTATTGGAATGGAAGCAAAAATGAAAAGCAAAGACAGCCATATAGTCTCAAGAAATGAAAGCAGCTGAAATGGGAACGGCTCTCCTTGCTTACCCTTCAGAGACAAAGTGGCAGGAAATTGTGAGATTCCTCCCAGAGCCCCACTTGCAAGGAAGCCCATTTAGCAAATGGTCTGAGTTGTTGGATCTGTTGTTGTTGGTTTTCTTCCCTGGGAACACAGCACACTGGGGATTCAGCTGCACCACACAGTACAGTCCTCTAAACCCTCAGACATGTCAAGTGCAGACTGAGAACAGCTCCTTCTGGGTTTGCAAAGAGCCGTAACTCTCCTTCTTGGCCCACTCCTTCCTGGCATTCTTGAATTGCTGGGGGAAACCTTGCAAACCATCCATCAAGGCACTTAATGTTAGGGGCCACGCTTAGCTCAGCCTCACAATATCTATTCTGTGCTTTTGCTGCACAGGGAACCTGACAAAATTGGCAAGTCCCATGTTAAGCCATGAAACGTCTTCAGAGAGAGAAACACCTAAAATGCAGCTTTCATCTATTTACCAAAATTAGGTCATGTTTTTCACTCTTGACAAAGATTCTTCTCAACACCAAAAGAAAAAAAAATTGAAAAAGAATCTGGAATAATTTACAATAATATAAATATAAATAAAAATTTTCCCCAATGCATATCTGTTGGGGAAGGATTTTTTTATTATAATAGTATCATAATATTTAGCATTTATTGAGTACCTGATACATACCAAGCAGTACTCTTTACTATTTTACATGCATTAATTCATATAATCCCTCCAAAAAGCCACAATAAATCAGTTGGGTCAACATTAGTATCATCTCTATTTCACATTGAAAGGAATGAGGTATGTCACATGTTTTTGGTCCTAGAACTTGAAAATAGAAGAAGTGAGGCTTTAACCCATATAGACTGGTTTCAGCCTTGGATTCTTAGCTGGTAGGTCATGTTTCTCATGCTTACCAAAGGATAGGAAGTTAAGCAGACAAATGAAAATCAAATTCAGCAGTTAAAAAATTATTTTGAATTTTAAGCCCTAATAATTGGTTCCATAAGAATCTGTAAAAATCCAATTTCTTTTTGGGGACTCTATAGGTGGGGGCATAGGTACAAAAGGCATCTTTGGGATCCTTCACTTCAGACTCAGCACTGCTGTGCCACAGTGGGCTTCAGCAATGCTCTCTGTGTTCACTACACGTGGATGAGTGGAAAGAAAAAGCGAATGAATATATAGCTGGAGCAAGTGTTCTTCTGTTGATAATAAGCTACATGCATTAGGAATTGTGTCTATCTGGCTCACTGTTGAGTCTTCATTGTCTAATATAGTTCCTGCCTACTGCAGACACTATTTTCTGAGTGAATAAACTCAGCTATGTTTCCATATGCCATTTATGATTACTGTGACTATATCACGTGTAAATACCTTTATTTTATTATGGACAGGGTTTTTAATGGTTGCAAGTTCATAGAAAACAAAAAGTATACTTGGTGAAATACACAAATGACAGCAGGAAAGACTATGAATGCTATATTTTTAAAAGAAAAAGTAATTTTTGCTTAAATCTAACTGAAATAAGCCTGACATACACTGTAGACATAATGGAAAATGATCAAAGAAAATACAGATGATGTTTCTTTAAAGAATTTTTAACAAATTAGGGGCTCAAATAAATTAGAGTCTTTCATTATAATTTACATCTGCCAACTCTTTGTTAGAAAGATTTATTTTAGTGAATATAATTTTTATGATACCAACTTTATTGCCAACAAAGCTTTGAAAAATGTAGTCTATTAAATAGGATAATGATCCCTATTGAAGACTGCACTAAAATAGTAAATATATATATATATCAATTGTATTTCATTCAGAGTAAAGTGATTAAATTTACCTCATCTCTGGATATGGTATTTGGCCTAAATTGCATTTCTGCAAGAGGGTGGAGTTTGAGACCAAAATCACCAGAAAATTCATGCATTTAATGAAAGCCAATCTTCTGGCAAATAGGTTAGCACTTTTTAATCCTATTTCTGTGGAATTTTGGTCATGTCCCAGATTCAAATATTCTTTATTCCTATACAACTATATCTTCCAGAAAGATGGATACCATATCTGCAGTAGGACTTAATTTAATTGACAAGTGTGTTTCATTAAGAAAATAAAAGCACATATGCAGAAACTAAGAGAAAATATTATATATTTAAATCCTTCACTTTCAAATTAAAAACATAGATGATTTTGCCTATCAAAACTAGCAAATTACTAGAGCTAAAAGGGGACCTTAAAAGTAATCTGGTTCCAAAACTGGATTTACATGTAAAGAAACTGGGATAGGAAAAGGTGCAATGATTTATTCATAGTCTCACAGTCACTGAAGCACAAAGCCAAAACTTTGACCCAGGTCTTCTGGGCATAATCCAGACATTTTCTATTGCCCCATGCTATCTGGCTGCAAGGCTGCATTGTTCCAGCCTCTGGTGATAATTCTGGGGCTGGCTTAAACCTGAAAATACAGTACAGCCCCCTGGGGATGATCTGGGATCAGTTTACTGTACCTGGACCTTATGAGTGTATGAGTGTTTGCTTCCTTACAATTGTGTCATTAATTGTGAAGGCCTGGATAGACACAAGTCATGACCATGTTTATTTTGTGCTGTTATATAACTGAGAGAGCTCCAAGAAACTTACCTAACAGCCACTTGTCAATTAAAATCATTGCAATTATTTGTGAGGTTTTTCTAAGTACTCAAATCCACTACTTTTGCTATTATCTAAAAAAAAAAAATCATCCCTTCTTATCTTTTCTCTTATTTTTTTAATAATAGTCCATCTGCTTGTTCATGGAGTTTATAAATTCCATGATAAAACAGCACATTTGAGAGTTGGAAAGACAAAAGTCTGCTGTAATAAGGGACCTGTGAAGGTTGAGTTGATTTCTGTGTTGCACCATCCTATGATACACACTGAGCCATCAGTCCCCAAGCCAGGAGGGGCAATCCTTGTGGTGTCAGGCCACCAAGAACAACTTCATCTCTGCTGATGTTCCTGTCTAACTGTTTTTCCCCCTGTAGTCTAACAACAGAAGTCTGGTTGTTCTCAGGGACAGTCTGACACTAGGTAGGTTCCTATTATTGTGTATGACCCCATTCACACTCCCATTTAGAAAACAAACTCCTTCTAGAATAAAGAAGAATGCCCATCTATTTCATCTCCCTTATTCTTCAATAACCTAAAGATAAGTAGATATTAAACAATTCACCACAGCATATGTGATTATAATGAGGAAAGAGCTCTAAGAATTAGAAGTGAATCCCAACACTGTTCTATAATTGCTCATTTTTCTAAAGTTGATTGACACACCATTTAGAGATGTAAAAAGCAGGGCAACCAAGGTAACCGCCAATGCCTTGTCTCAACCTTTGGCTTTGTTTGTGCTCCAGGGTCAAATTCTGGGAACATAGATTATGATAACAGCCTGGTTTCTTCATGCTTTCATTCCACAGAACCCTTCACAGTCATGTGCATTTGAACTCAAGAGGATATAACATCTGCTTGCTCTCAAAAGTTCTATTCAAGTAGAGAGAGATCAATGGAAAAAAAGTGTGTGAAGCATGGAGTTATCAAGGTTATTATTATAAGTTCCTATTTCTACCTATTACATTTTAACAGAAAATCCAGATTCATAAAATAAAAATTATTTGTAAGAAAAATGGGGATAAAATTTGTAAATTCTTTTACAGTTTTGTTTATTAAAATTCAGTAATTAAAAAAACAAGAAGAAGCAGTGAAGATTTTATATTGTAATTAATCACAGTTTCTATTTGGGTTACTTACATGTGTTTGATTTGGGAAAATTTGCTGGATTACACCATTAAAATGCATGCACTTTAAAAAAAATTAGGATAAATTACCAATTTCACTTTTCATAAAATGCCTTGAGTCATATCTCTATTCTTTAAAGGTATTATTATACCTTTATATTTAATTATAATTTTCCCGTTGTTGTAATTATTGAAAGTTGTGGCCAATATTACTCCAAAATAGTCTAGCAGGAAACTGTGGAGCTCTATTCTTTCTAGTATATTTAGATCTTTACTCACTTTAGTTATTTCTCCAAGAATTTACAAACCAGAATAACTATTGCAATTCTGATAAATTTTGTACTTTATCATAGTCATGATCCCACACAGTAACAACCCCGAAAATTTTAAATCAGTAGTTTGTTTTCATATATCTAAACTGTTGGTAATTGTGGCCCATAAATGATAAGATGAGTAGATAAGCTGCAGGACACTCCAGAAGGACTTCAGTTAACTTGGTCCTACTCAAAATAGAGGCTCTCAGAGTATCTGAACCTGGTGCTCACCCTGAGCTGAGTTTGAGGTTGAAGAGATTCAATCATAATGACAGGTTGAAGAGTAGATTGATCTTTATCAACAATGATCTAAAAATCCTCTTAATACGTATAATCACTACCATTCATTCAATATGCTAAATCTTGTATAAATGAAATTCCTTACTTGATTTTCACAATCACTCTGTGGTGTATAGCTTCTGATATTATTCCCATTTACTGATGATATATGCTTGAATCTCTAAGAGGTAGGATGCACAGTACATGGTAAACCCAAGGGTTGAACTCAGACTTCTGAATCCAAAGCCAAGATCTTAACCTCTCAGAATAGATAAGTAGGTAGGTAAAGTTTAAAAAAAGAAATTGACATTTTGGATAGAAATTTTTTAAAAATTAAATGTATGTGGAAGGTAATATTTTTAAATTGCTTACCCATTTTCTTCAGCATTTTTACTATTTTCCATTATTTTAATATTTTATAATAAGAATATAGTTATATTATCCTATGTAATTTAAAACATTTACATAAAAAGTAGATCATAAAGCTTCAGCTGAAACTGTGGCTGCTTCTTACCTATAATATTGTTTAATCCTCCTGTTTTCTGTTATTTTCGGGAGATTTGGGAGAGGTACCTTCTTTACCTTGTCTTGGCTATCTGAGATGCTGTTGTCACATTTCCCTCATTATGTTAACATTGAATTCCATGGCCAGCTCTTCTGTGCGTATTCTAAATTGAAGGAAGATATTGAAACTTCGTTCCTTTTCAAGTGAATCAGGAACCTCTAGCAATGCTTACTTCTCTGCCACCGTGACAAAACAAAAGCAGTTTCAGGCTTCTTATTCCATTCAATTTCCAGGACCACCCACATGCACAGAAGAGCCCCTCTGTTTTGTCAGCATGCACCTGCCCCTATGGTCACTCTTTTCCGCTTCAGTGTTATAGCTTTTGTAAGGCCTGTACCTTTCTACCTAACCTCATGCCCTCTGAATTAACTCATTTTCTGCCTAGTACCTGTCTTTTCTTTCCCTCCCCTGGCACTCCATGCCCTTGTCTGCTTTATCTATAGTGTCTGCAAGATCCTCTTTCTCCCCAATATTTTCTGGACACTCTTGATACTGAGGGCATGCATATCCTGTTTTCCTGATTCTGGGGGATTCAGCAACAAGTAAATGTTTTATAAAAATGAAGAATTTGTAAAAGTCTACCAAGTGCCAATTTCACCAAGTTGGGCCATCAAAAACAAGAAAATTGAACATCACAATCATTCTATGAAAGATATTTTAAAACTAAAAATGGGGAAAGACCATAATCTAAATAAATAAATGTGTTTCTCAAAAGGCAACAATTGTGCAATCTCCGTGGGGAGACTTAATGTGGGAGAATGATTCGTGATGAGTTCATGAGAATAGCTGAATCTCTCTGTCTAGTATAAGGGACCCTTAGAAGTCGGTGAATCACTTTTTGTAGCCCAGCCCCTACCTTCTCTCCCACCTCAAAGTCAAGAGGGAGTCCCTTATCTGCAAAAGCTAAAGGGTCACATTAATTGCTCTTGTCTCTCAGAAAACTCCATTTATCAACAACAGATTCCAGGCCAGGACGGAAATGCCAGCAAAATGAAGTTCACCCAGGCCTGGAGTTTGCTGCCTCACCCACCCAAAGGCCCTACCTAGACCCCTTGTTGTGTTCTGTGGCCTAGGATACTTTAAGCTCCCCTTGAAGAGTGTAGAGTTCCTAACACGCAGAGAAGCTGTGATGGTGTGAAAAAAAAAAGGCCCAGAAGAAGTGAAATTAAACAGCACTATCCCTGCAGTGTTCATGTGATCACAGAAATGGTACATTATATCTGTCCACAGAAAGGTTTTTAGGGCAATCACCAACGCATTCTCCAGTGAGACCTTAAAATCCCAAATGCACTCTTTACGGATTGTTTTAGATGAACATAGTTTTTGAAGTCCTTTTTTATACTTAATAAAGTACATTATACCATTCACTTTGATTACTCATCACAAATTCAAGCCAAAGCCAAAAGGCAGAATTTCTTTTTTTACTGGTTCCAGGTTCCAACTACGTTGACCTAGTTATGCTAGCAGTAGAAGTGTCCTAACCCTCTGGCTCAGGGCATCAGATCCCATATATCAGGAAACAGTGAAGGAAAGGAAAGGAACAGGGCTACGTCCGTAGCCAAGGTGGCTTGTGCTATGAGAGGAAATTGGTCAATTTTGGTCTATACAAGGGTATCTAGAAAGTGTAGGCTGCACAGATGCCCCATTTCCCCCATGTACCAAGAAAATATTAATAGTCCACTTTTATAGTGGTATGATTTATTTGCTCCATTCACATTTGGTAGCAGAGGCATTGTCATGCCCCAGGCTTATTGCTAAATAATACAGAAGCTAGAAGGAAATGCAATAAGAAAGTTGAGAATGTGAAACATGTGGTGAGGTCAGGACACACTCCCACATGCCCACCCAACACATGACTTTGTGGTTTCTTCTATCATTGTGAACACAACTGCCATTTCTATCACCATCATTAATTAGAATAAAAATTCTTAAAACTTGCTACACCATTCATCTGTAGAACTAAGTAGGATTATTCCAGACCTTCAGGCCAAGTTTTCTAAAAGCCTAGCTGATTAAAACGCATTAACATTTGTGTTTTGCCAACACTGGTTACAATGATTGCTGGCAAGTGTTTATGTGCTAACCAAGACCTGACAAGAGAGATGCAGAAAAGCACTCGGAGAAGGACACTTACATAGGAGGGGTACCACTGGTAACTGAAGTATGTGTTTCCTCTTTGGCAAAGGAAGGAAGTTAACTCATGGTCTTCAAGGCACCTTCTAGAGCTAACATTTTATAACTGATTAGCAGACAAATTTTTAGAAGACACCTACTGAATGATGTGAGGTTGAAAATCCTTCGAAGACAGATGATAATTCTAAGTACTCCATATTGGTTTTACCTTTATTCCTCCTATCCCTTACCTTGTGCTTATTTCTCACTAGCATTGCCAATCAAAGAGGAAAGAAAAATTTTTATTAAGTCAGTTTTTATGGGATCAAAATGTGAAGTTCTGAGATTATCCACTAAATTTTCCCACATCTTTAAATTCTCTGAAATATCTTTCTCTGGAGGTGTTGAATAGAAAGAGTGAGCTGTGATTTGAACTCTAGCAAGCCTAGCAGGATTCATTGCAAAAAGCTCTTCTGAAGGAAAATGACAGGCAAGAAAGCAATGACAGCCCCTTCTAGAGACCCCACCAGCAGCTGGGAATCTGGAAACTCAAGCTGTTAGTGATAAGAAGGAAGGCAACCAAAAGACTTTAGTTTTTTGAAACAAAGGAAAAACAGAGGCAGTGACTTTCAAGTTCATAGCAATCTTATCTCCTTTGGTTCAGGAGCACTTGTTTGCCTAAGTGTTACTTTTTCACAAAATAAAGTTAAGTCAACAACGTTTTTGGCATTCGTGACATGGTAGGTAAAACAGCCTGTGAAATGTGGAAGGAAATTTTCAGGTTTTGAAATTGAAGCTCCAAGGTTAAGAAAATAACCCATGTCATGAGTGTTTTGCTGGCTCATTTAAACTCCCCAGTCCTAACACTTTATTTCCCAAGCAAGGAAACAGATTAAAGCGAACATAATATGTTCACAACAAAACAGAGTGTAACTTGGATTAGGGGTTAAATTCCATTTAGCATTTATGCTTTCCCTATTTCACTACCATCATTACTAGTATTAATGCTTTAGAGTTAAGAAGTTTGCTAAGTGCTTCCAAATAGCTTTTCTTATTTACGTAAAATTCCCAACCCTGTGATATAGATAAAACAGTAAATATTCCTCATCCTTACCATCTTCCTAATTATCATCTTCATTTAATGGGCACTTTACTATGTACCAGGTCCTGTACTAGGTGTTTTATAGAATCATCACATTTAATCCTCATAATAATCTTTTGTGGTATAGATGAGGAAACACAATTGATTGGGGATTGGATTCAGGGGCTTATGAGTCTATGCTCAAAATATTCTTTCCATATTGTTTTAATAATAGACTTTAAACAGAACAAAGAAAATGTTAATGTTTCCAGTTATTTTATATAAGTTTCCTTCAGTCAGAAATAAGGCAAGAAAGGGACCATGAAAATAAAGTTAAATTGGGCTGGGGTTGGTGGCTCAGTGGTAGAGCGCTCGCCTACCATATGCAAGGCCCTGGGTTTGATCCTTAGCACCACATAAAAATAAATAAATAAAATAAAGATATTGTGCCCAAACACAACTAAGAATTAAATATTTTTTAAAAAGTTAAATTCACAATCTCTTCCTAAAATAAACACTAACAAAAATGAAATAGACAAAAATATTTCCAAATCTTTTGGAGTTTTACAAATTTCATTAAGGTTAATATTTCACTACATTTGCAGCTAAATGCAAATTCTACTTTTTAATGGGCTACTGAAAAAACAAAAACTCAGGCAAATCCATTCTTTTCTTTTTAAAGACTTTGTTTGAAAGCAGACAGTGTAGGGTGACTTACATTGCCACCCTGATTACAACCTGGTTAGTCTTTGACTATATCAAATTTAATTTCCACTCTGGAAATATTTAATGAGTATCTACTGCATGTTTGGTGTTGAGAAATATAGAAGCAAAAAGAACACTTACTACTCCTGCCTTTCTAGAGCTTATTATGATACAGAGGTCAGAACAGATATGAGAGATGATAATAAAATTTTAAAACAGAATATTATCCTGGACTTGGAAATTAGAAGATGATTCCATAAAAAAATTGTATTTAAATGAAACCTGAGGAAATGCCAACAGTTAGTCTGATAAGGAGGTGGCTTTAAAGACATTAACAAACTTGGGAGAAATCTACATCCACACGAAATGAAAAAGGTTTCCATAATCTACTACAGGATGAAGATTTTGGAGGACAGCAGATTATTATATAGGAAGGTCATCCTTAACATTTCCCTTACTAAGCCAAAATTCTCACAGTTATAAGAAACTAGCTTAAAACTCCTGATCTGGAAGCAGGTGAAGGAAACACTGGTAGTGCCTCAGATAATTAAAATAGGGGTTTCCTCTGCATCAAGAAAAGCATGGTGTAGTCACTCAAAAGGACATGAGAGAAGAAGGTAGGAATCAAGAAAGAAAGATGATTGGAGAAGGGACATAAATAGAGAACAGGGAGCAATATTCTAAGTGAAATATAATCCCATTAACAAAATAAATAATTTTATTATGATGAGCTCTCTACTACCTGTGTTTCACCTGAAGAATTTACAGCATTCTATTCCACATTCATTTAGACTGAACTTGAGATCTCAAGGGAAGACTAGTAGTTCAGCAGATTTACTTTCCTATGTTCTGCATAGGTTTAGCACAGTAATGAGAAGTAAAGATACTAGAATCCTTGATTCCTTTCTTTTTATTTTAGTGTCAATTCCTAATTCACTTTATTATTACATGAGCATTAGTTTTGGACTACTAAGGCCACCAAACTGATAGGATAAGAAAGTAGCAATAAAAAGAGGAAAGTGGGAGTTTATCACTAAATGCTGAATATTCTCTATTTGCCCATCTGGAGATACATGTCAATCTTTTCTGCCCTCCTCTGTGCACCACAGCTTGGCCTGCTACCAAAGAACTACCTTGGATTTCAACTGGGTGTGGACAGTGGTAAGCATCAGCGATAAGGAGATAGGGACCATGAGATTGATGTCCTTCATCACTTCAGGTTGGTTTCCACCAGCCCTGTCCACAACTTTGCAAGTAGTCCTTCATTAATTTCCCCTTAATGGCCTAATTGGAATGTGTCATCTCTTTCCTCACTCTCAAAGTGGAAAAGATAGTCTAATCAAACATAAATGCAATGTAACATTAGAGCAAGCGTGATAGACAAGGACAAGGAAGTTT